AGGGAGGAAAAGCGGGGGTGGCGGCCGACAGCGGTGCGGCCTCTAGGAGGCCACCTGGGAGCAAGGGACGATGTTGGCGAACGGTGTGAGCACGGGACACGGGCGTTCGGCCTCGACGCAGCGACAGACAGAGGGATGGAGGGAGCCGGGGTGCATCGCTTAAGCGCGGTTTTGCCACGCCGTGCGTGATTGAAAGCTCTAGTTTGGTTTTGTTGAAATGATGAAACACTAAGTTCTAACCTAGTTTATCAAAGTGATCATGAGATAGGTAGCACATTCCAAGTAATGGAGCAAGTGGTGAAGATCATGATGATGGTGTGACTATGGTGATGATCAAGTGCTCAGCTTGGAAAAGAAGAAAGAGAAAAACAAAAAGCTCAAGGCAAATGTGAAACTTGATAGGAGCTTTTTTGGTTTAGTGATCGAGACACTTAGTGAGTGTGATCACATTTAGGATCGATAGACATACTATTAAGAGGGGTAAAACTCATATCGAAATGCAGTTGTCAAAGTGCCACTAGATGCTCTAACTCATTGCATATGCATTTAGATTCTAGCGAGTGCTAACACCCTTGAAAATGTGTTGTGAAAATATGCTAACACACGTGCACAAGGTGATACACTTGGTGGTTGACACATTTGATCAAGGGTGGCAAAGTTGGAGTTGAGAAGGGGTTGTCTCGAGGTGACCGAACGCTATTCTAGTAGCGACCGGACTTAGCAGCCGCGTTCGGTCAGTGGCGCGCAGTGAAGGCTGCCCTTGGTCCTTTGATCGGATGCTAAACAGTGAAGTGACCGGACATGCAGGGCCTACATCCGGTCAGGCTGTGATGTACGCTGACACAAGCATCAGAGCGAGGCAGTGGTGATCGAACTTACCGACGTGTCCGGTCATGCGTGACCTGACGTGTCCGATCATGATTTAGCCTCTCTGGATGCTTACTCAAAGTGACCAGACTCTAGGCGAGGGTGTGTGAAAGGATATAAACAATGCCTAGAGGGGGGTTGAATAGGCGTATCTAAAAGTTTCTGTGTAAACTCAATGTTAAATATCAGTAACAATCGAAAGTTCCGACTGTTTGGGTCGGAACTTTTGGCAGCCGGAAGTTCTGACACAAACAGCCAGGAGTTCTGGCACCTACGTGAAATTCACTACAAGTGCTAAAATAAACTTTGAGTGAAAGATATCTTACAACCCCACTCCCTAGTGGTAAGGTGAAGTATTGGGGTTGCTCCTTTGACGCCGAAAGGTCACCACTCCGTAGATCGAGTCTAAACCCAAAGAGGAGAGTTGAAGAGGAAGATAAACCAACAAGAACAAATATGATAGAACAAATCACAACAACAACAACAACAAAGCACGCGGGACACAAAGATTTATCCCAAGGTTCGGCAACCCCACAAAGGAGCTTCTACGTCCTTATTGTTGAGGTGACCACCAAGGTCGGAGTCTCTTCCACCTCCTTGCCTCTCTCAAAGCAACCACAAAGGTTACTTAAGCTTTTCACTAAGAATTCATGGGTAATACAAACTTCCCAAGGCTCTTCCACAAGATGGAAGCATGTGGGCGACGTCTAGCCGGCTAGGGTTCCAAGAACCCAAGAGTAACAGACACAAATCCAACTGGCTGGACAAAAAAATCAAGTGCTCAAGCTTGCCAAAGTGATTCTCTCACTCAATCCACTCCCTTTTCATTGAAAACCCTAGGGGAATCAAAGATTGGAGCAAAGGGGAGAAGAGAGGGGTGCCTTGAATGCTTAGGAGTTGTTTTGGATGAAGGTTGGTGAGCAATGAATAATTGGTTCACGGTTAGAAGAGAGGAGAGAGCTATTTATACTCATAGAGAAATCCAACCGTTCAGATCTGGGTCGGAAGTTCCGACACAGATCACCGGAACTTCCAGCCCTTCGTAAAACACTGTTCAAGGCAGAGTCAAAGGTGGTCAACATAGCTGGAGCTAGAACTTCCGGCGGAATGCTGGAACTTCTGGCAGTCGGGACTTCCGACTCATGTCGGAACTCCCGACCTAGAGCCAAGCTAGGGGGCTAAGTCCCAAAGCGCTGGGACTTTCGGCACCCGAAACTCCTGACTCCCGTCGGGACTTTCGACGGGCGAGCGAGCGCAGGAGGGCTCATGGCTAAGTCCTCAAGTGCTGGAACTTTTGGCACCAAATGCTAGAATTTTTGACGGTCGGAACTCCCGGCTCACGCCGGGACTTTCGACTACCAAAAGTCTAAGAACAATATCTAAGTGTTCGTGAGGTGATTTTACGTCTCTCTTTTGATTTTATTTTTGTGCTTGAGCACTCTATCTTCCTCAGACCACCTAAACTTGCATCCCTCTTTATAGTACGACATAACTAAACCCAAAACAAAATTAAAAATGCTTGAAGCGCGCTTTGGGTTCGTTCGTCTTTTGCACTTGAAGAATTGAGGGATACAATTTCATCTTAAATCAACTCTTTGAAACTTTCAAGGGACTAAAGCTGTAATATATCTCATTAAGATCTCATTAGTCCCTAATTTAGATGTCATCAATACACCAAAACCCACATAGGGGGCAAATGCAATTTCAGTGTGCCCGGTCATCTCCGTAGTGCATCTGGTCTCACTTTAACTGCGCTAACGTTGGAACTCGACCGTTAGGATCGGTCGGTAGAGGTTTAAAGAGGGAGACGCGTGGAGCACATCCAGTGACTGGACACTGGGGGTCTGCGTCCGGTCAGCTTGACCGGTGCATCCGGTCACCCCGAGAAAGCTGTAGTGAGGAGCCCAATGGCTCTATTCCTAGGGGCTCTCTATTTAAGCCCTATGAGCGGCTCAAGCTCACTCTCTTGACCATTTGCATTGATAAAGCAACCTTGTGAGCTTAGCCAAAGCCCTCCCACTCATCTCCATCATTGATTCATCATCTTTGTGAGATTGGGAGTGAATCCAAGTGCATTGCTTGAGTGATTGCATCTAGAGACACTTGGTGTTCGTGTTTCGCTGCGGGATTCGCTTGTTACTCTTGGTAGTTGCCGCCACCTAAACGGCTTGGTGCAACAAGGATCGTCGAGCGGAGGAAGGTGTTTGTCTCCGGCTCCGATCGTGGTGATTGTGAGGGGATCTTGATCTTTCCCCGGTGGAGAGCCAAAATGTACTCTAGTGGATTTGCTCGTGGCTTATATGATCCTCATCTTGTGTTGGTTGTACGACACCCAATTGTGGGTTTGGCGTGTGATGCCAATTAGCGCGTGAACCTCCAAGTGAGTGAATCACCACAACGGAGACTAGCTTGGCGGCAAGTAAGTGAACCTCGGAGGAAAAATCATTGTGTCTTGATTGTCTCCTTGGTATTCATTGATTGGTCTCTTGCCACGGTGGTATACCTTTCTACCACTCTTGTATTATATTGTGCCTTTACTTGTGTAGAGCTTGTGGTAATTGAAACTTGTTAGTGTAGCTCTTAGTTGTAGTTCTCTTGCTAGCTTGCTCACCTAGGTGTAAATTAGTGACTTAGCCTTGTTGTGATATACTAGAGATCATAGTTTTTAGAATTGGGTAGGTGGCTTGCAACACAAGTGTAGTGCTAGCGCAAAATTCGCTTCGCCATCTTATTTACTAATCACTTGCATTAATGTTGTTGTAGAATTTTTAATAGGCTATTCACCCCCTCTATCCATTAAGACCTTTTAGCAATGGCGCGGCACTGCCGCGCCAAGATCTACGGCGCGGCAGCGCCTGCCACGTCAGCGACCAGGGCCCGGGGAAGTACCACGTCATCGCCGCTGCCGTGCCGCCATGCATGGCGCATCAGCGTTGTTTGGCCGTGCCATGGCAATAGGTGCGGCCAAAAGTGTTAGATTTGAAAATAAAAAAATTCAGTATCAAATTTGGAAATAGTTTTAAAAAGTGTTAGAAATAAAAAAAAATCACTCCCTTCGTCCCTGAATAAATCAATTTCTAGAGTTATCTTGAGTGAGTTTTTTAAGTTTTACCAAATTTATAAAAAATACAACAATATTTATGACACCAAATAAACAAATTGTGAAAATATATTTTTACAAGGCATCTAATGATATTAATTTGGTGTCATAAATCTTGGTGTTTTGTCCTATAAATTTAGTCAAATTTTAAAAAAAGTTTAACTTGAAATTGATTTATTTAGGAACAGAGGGAGTATGTCGGTGTTTGCTATTGTAGAATACTGTAGCAGGGAGAAAAAAACGATCCTGCTGTAACAAAAATGAATTAACTACAGTGAAGGAGCAGTCGGGAGGAGCTCCTTCAAACGGGCCTGGTTAGACTCCATTTGAAACTATCATAATGTTGGTTATCAGATTGTACAAACTCAACTTTAGATACCAACTCAATGAACCCATTTGTTTAACCTATCCCCTAGTAAAAGCTCTGTGGAAAGTGATGTTCGGAGGCATATTATAATTAAAGAGGAGACACTGTACCAGGTTTCTCTCTACTAATTCTGTGCAAAGATAGATAGTGTTCTACTAGGGTAAAGTTACCCCTCCCAAAAACGAATTTATGAACGACTGTGAAGATCAAGTACTGCTCAGATGGCTAGATATATATACAATAGATTAAACAATCTTTGACCTTTACATATAAGGCATGGCTAGATGACCGCTACAATATGCTTCATGAGTAGTCTTTCAAAGCACATCTTCGTTTACTATTTTCTACAACAACTTACTTAATAAATATGCAATTTCTTTGTCTAAAAAAATAAATATGCATTTTGCATCTCTAGATATATTCAAACTTGTATAAAATATATATACATCGTGTGGGCACATATGATCTGAGTATCTGACTAGTGGCTGCACGCCGGTTTGGTTTGACAGTTTGTTACGAAAGTGATGCTGTGACGCTGTGTGTCGAGAATCTCGGACTGGTGGATGAACACTACCTATAAATTGGTGCCCTGGCAAGTGTTGCAGAGCACAAGCTAAGCAAGCAGCCCGATCGAGCACACTTCATCACTAGCAAAGAAACAGAGCCATGGCTTCGCGTGCCTTTGCTACACTGCTTGCAGTGCTAGCGGTTGTGGGTTTTACCTCAGTTCCCCGTGGTCTGGCAACTGATCCGACCCAGCTCCAGGACTTCTGCGTTGCTGATAACAACAGCCCTGGTAAATAAATACAGTATATTTGTAGACATGTACTTACATATATGCATGTGTTTCGTTATATATATATATATATATATATATATATATATATATATATATATATAAGCTGCACAACGCATGAACTTTGGCAGCACATATACAGAGAGAGTTTGTAGACTCCATTTTTGGAAGAGCTCCATTATCTATATTTATGCATATATTGAAGGCATGCATATATACTATACGCAAAGGTAAATAATGTGTATGATGATTTGCGATGACGACAATTTTTAATTCATGCATGCAGTGCTGGTGAACGGGGTGGTGTGCAAGAACCCGAACGTGGTGAACGCAAACGACTTCTTCTTCCACATAGTGCCGGTGGCACCAAACGCGCAGGGCTTCGCCGTGACGCCGGTGGCGGTGGCCCAGATCCCGGGGCTGAACACGCTGGGCATCTCGCTGGCGCGCATCGACTTCGTCCCCGGCGGGCAGAACCCGCCGAACACACGCACCCTCGCGGGTCGGAGATCCTGACGGTGATCCAGGGCACGCTCCTGGTGGGCTTCGTCACCTCCAACCAGCTGCTCAACAACACGCTCTTCACCAAGCAGCTGCGCGCGGGCGACGTGTTCGTGTTCCCGCAGGGGCTCATCCACTTCCAGCTCAACGTCGAAAGGACCCCAGCCGTGGCCATGGCCGCGCTCAGCAGCCAGAACCCTGGCACCATCACCATCGCCAACGCAGTGTTTGGGGCCAAGCCGCCCATCCTAGACGTCATCCACTATGCCAAAATAGCACAAAGGAGATACCTTAATCAGTGACATAGAATCAAAACGCGTCACTAATTTAATATCAGTGACGCAGGTAAACAGTACGCGTCGCTGTGTATTTCTCACCCAAGGCACAAAGAACAAAACGCGTCACTAATTACAGTTATCAGAGACTTGTCTTAACTAGAAGCGTCACTGCTAACCAGATGTGCTATCTGAACACGTCACTCCTATAGGACCCGGGCCCGAAAAAAAATGAAGATTGGTTAAGGAAAAACTGAAGTCCAGAACCTATCGCCCCCCACTCGTCTCTTCCCGTCTTCCCCTCCACAGCCCCTGCTCCGCCGTCGCCACCCCTCATCCTCAATCCTCCTCCGCGGCCACCACCCCTTCTCTGCCGTTGCCATCTCCCCTTTTTCCCCCTCCGCCTCCATCGTCCCTTCCCCTCCCCCAACCACGACGGCTCCACGTACGGACGACGATGCAGCGCTGGGTTGGCATGGCGGACGGCGAGGCTAGGGGGCAGATTCCAAGGTGAGATCTCGTCCCCCCTATATCGGCCCTACTACCTCCCTCGCGCTCCCCGCCTCACCTTGGCCTGATCCGCACAGGGTCTTCTACTCCCACCGGCTTCCACATGACCTAGATCTGGCGCGCCTCCCCCTGCTGCCACCCTCCGCCTCGTACCTCCTTGCGGCAACCGCTGGGCTCGGGCTCCTCGCCGACCTCTCGCTCCACATGCTTACCCGAAGCGGGGGTTGACGCCGGCGACGTCTACAACTAGCACCACGCCGCCACCCTAGCCCAGGACAAGGACAAGGAGGAGGTTGTGGAGATGGCCGGCAGGGCGCCCGAGATCGATGAGGAACTCCACAGCCGCCAGATTACCATCTATGGGCGCGAGACCATGAGACGCCTCTTCCGCTCTAACTTCCTCATCTCTGGGCTTCTGGAGTAGTGCTCTGAGATCGGTATGTCTCTGCTCATCATAATATGTACATACATCAATAAATCGTGAGATAAAGGCCTACTGGTTTACCTTAATGATGCGTTTTTAATTCCTTGGCCTATCTGATCTCGCAAAATCTAATTATTGTTGTGTACCTTTTGTAAATTGATGCTTTCCCGTGTGTAAGAGTAAGATGCTGTCACCAGCTGGTGTGCTGTAGGATTTGATATGTAGTTACTGGTTACTGCCTCAATTAGTCCATTCTCACTTCCCTTAGTTCATCTCAACAGACAGGACATACTTCTCATTAATTTTTTCCATATCTGTATAAACACTTAATAACATTTGAACTTGTACAATAGAAAACTTTTCTGAAATTCTTCAATTTTCCTACAAGTGCTCTTATGGATGTGTTAAATATTCAAACCATCAAGTTATACAAGTGCCTTCTGTGATTACTCATGAATCCTTGTTCTGAGATTAGCTGAAATTTTTATTCTTCTGACCTGAATCTGTCTCAACGCAACATTGCCCCTTTTTAGAATGTTGGTCTCTACAAATGTTATGATTGCTTCAATCAGGATTTAAATACACCATGGGTTGTTGCAATTGGTAGCTATGTGATCCGTATCTGTGCTTCATTTTTATCCTTCCGTGCATGCCATTGTTACAGTATTTGTGCTGCTACATGCTAATAGGATCCCATCGAACCATGGTGATTAATTGGGCTTCCAGTTCTGATTTTCATTTTCGTCTTTTATTTTGGGAGCCATAAGTTCATTTCTCCTACATATTCCCTGTGTGTGCAGATCAAAGAGTTTACGATTAAGTGGATGGATCTTTTACGTTTCTACTGATTTCTTAACGTTGTTGATTATTTAGTCTAGCTCTTGCAAATGAGAGGTGTACAGTGGCTGTTCAGAGATTATATCTCAGGCACAAGGTGTATATGCAATTGGATTAGTTATAAAATGCATTTGATAAATGGTTCAGTTTTGGTCTACAATTAAGCATTTTACTTTTTAGGTAACGGCACACCAAAACAAAAATATAATATAGTTGTCTAAAAGTATGATCTGTCTGCAGTTCAGAGGAGCAGCATGGGAGGTCCTTTGTTTATCGATTTCCAGCAGCAGTTTCAGCTTCATTTCTTGTGCAAAAGCAGGTGGACAGCAGCACATAAGCAGCTTGGCTCTTATCTCAGGTGAGCAGCGACAGTAGCTAAGCATAAAATTTAGAGAACAAATTTTAGTTTTATTTGGTACTTAAAGATGGCTATTGTTATAGCACGTCACAACAGGACAGGACTTAGATACATTTTCTTACAAATTAAATGGTCTGATGAAGTTAAGCATTCAGAACTGTATGAGACAGGTGTAGACATAAGTTCCTACTAATCTATGATGGTTCCTTACTACTAGTCTGTGCGTAACTGCGTGAGACATAATTTTCTAGATACGGTCACATTTGTCTACAGACCATATGGATCCTTACTACGAGTCTGTGAGTATATAAGTGGTGACTCATGTGCAGTGAGGATATGAATCAGTGCGTAGTCTGTGAGTATATAAGTAGTATGAGCTAATTCTTGGTGAACTTTGTTTTATTACAGATGTGCACATCGGACCATGCAGATTTGCACTGGACCTACATAATTGTGTGAGCATCTCTTTTCATTTGGTATTGTACTCTAGTTAAGTCAGAGATCCGATTGCTTCTGAGAGTTTGTTACTTTAGAGAACAGATTTTAGTTTTATTTGGTACTTATAGATTTTAGTTTCACTGATAATAGCGCCTCATGCCCAGTGGTCGCTGCCGCCCCAGATCGACCATGCATGTAGCACCACTATACCAAAGGTACGCGCATCTGTGCCAGCTCGTCCCTCCCCACGCTCGCGTCGGATAACTAGAGCTTCTGCTTGGCGTAGCCGCTGTGTCAGTGCAGGACCCTAGCTGGGGATGTGACGCCATGCTGGCAACCCTGGAGGAACTAACGGCAAGGTTGGTGGTGGCATAATTCTAGATGAGGCCGTGAATAGAGACCTAGCGGAAGTGGTATGTATTACTCTCTCCTCATCAATCTGCATTAACAGTTTTGCCTGGAGGAATCCTACCTATTTGCCATTGGAATTGAGATCGGATTCATGACTAATTTCTAAGTAAAATAATGGCAATTAGAATTACAAGATGCCGCTGCAGTAGTCTTTCTAAATTAAACTAGCAGGGCTCTTATGTATCTAGTTTTAGTATGATGTAATGAATACGTGCCATCTAGTTTTTACTCGTTTGACTTGTTTTTTCAGTAAAATTTACAATGAAAAAGGCCAGATGTGTGATTATCAGTATAGAAGCTTATAGTTTGGTAGTCCCAGGGAATCAAACTTAAATAGAGAACCTGTGATCCTTGGATCAATTATTACTAAACCACAAACTCATAGAGTAGTTCTTTTTCAGTGGCAGTAAAGCAATAACCTTGCTTCTCTAGGTTTTCTGTGAGTAAACTCTTGCCCATTCAAGTAATTGGTGACCATTTATTTTAAATTTACTCAATGTATAACATATGTATAATTTACGTTTTCTGCTAATTTCTTTCTAGTTAATGTTTTGATGTTTTTTTTTTGTCTAGATGACATCGGACGTAGTAGTGACGTTGAAATTTTATCCTAATCATACAAGAAAGAAGATCTGTCGGGTTCATAAACCTAGGGTCCCTTATGGACATGCTTCCCAGCAAAAGTTCAGCCCGACAGACAATATTGCGAACGACGCGCAACTCCTGGGCCGGCCCAAAAACCTAACGACAAGCCACAAAGGCGATCCAATCTCCGACTCCGGCCCGCCTCTACGACTGGAAGGCTTGGCCAGAGAGGAACAGCGCTCGCCTCCGACTCCGGCCCGCCTCTCCAACCGGAAGGCCTCGCTTCTGACTCTGGCCCGCCTCTCCGATCGAAAGGCCTCGTTTCCGACTCCAGCCCGCCTCACCGACCGAAAGGCCTAGCCGAGGAGGAACGACGCTCGCTTCTGACTCTGACCCGCGTCTCCGACCGAGGATGCGCCGGCCCTCTGCTTACAGCTCTTCTCCGACTAGCGCAGTCGGAGCCGACTAGGACCAATCGACCGGGGACGCCCGCTCGGTGAGGACCCAGGAAACGGGCAGAGCAAGTAAGGCAGGGTGCTCAAGTCAACCGCAATACCAAGGACCGTACCCTGTACACCTGCAGGACAGCACTGACAGGATATGTCAGAAGGGTGCCCTACAACCTTTCAGGCATGTCAGAACCCAAGCAGTGTTGCGGGCGCCGACGTTTGCCCTACAGTGTTGTGGGCGCCATCAATTCCCATACCAGGCGAACACGGTAAAACCCCCCACATGCCTCTGGGCATCAACAGTGTTGTGGGCGCCGTCATTTGCCATACATGGTGAATACGGTAAAACCCCCACATGCGTCTGACATAAACAGTGTTGTGGGCGCCTACAATCATCTTGTACCCGATGACGTGGGCAACAAGACTTAGTAGCATACGTACACTCTCCCTCTCTCACTTGTAAGGCCTTCCCCTTCATCTATAAAAGGGGATGCGCTCTCTTCCAATGAGGACGGATCAGTCTAGGTCAATTCACGAACGACTTGAGCAACCTACGATTCAATCGATTCACAAACGAGTCGAACGACCACCCAACGATTCCAACGAACAATAGATGTTCGAACACTTAGCGCACGTAGGAGCTCCCGTCTCTCTTGGCCCTTTGGTCCAGAGTCCAACCAGACCTCCTGCACCCCCCGTCTTACTTCCTCTCGTTTATAACCCCACAG